GGATGACCCTGAACTTCTGATCTTCCTGTCTCTATGCCCCCAGTGATGAGAGTCCAGGTCTACAGTACCACATCTGCTTTATAGGGAATGGGACCCAGGGCTTCACGCATGTGAGGCAAGTACACTATCAACCTCAGCTCTGGCAACTTTGTTTTTAAAAATAATTTGAAAGTACGTGGCTCACTCCTTTGAGATACAACTTTCCACACTGACTGCATGGGAAATAAGCAGACTGGCTCAGGTCTGCTTCCTGGTCATGGCAGAGGGCACAGCATGTGGGTTAGGACACGCCCATGGGCAAAGGGACAGGCTACAGGATGCTGCAAGGGGCACACTGTAGGGACTGTTGCTTTCAGAGCCTGTCCAAACCTCTTTTGTTGGTGCTGGCCTTCATATGCCACTAGACCACTTCCTCTCATTTCTCTGACAGCGCTTCAGGATGGGTAGCCAGCAATAAGGCGCTGGCCCCTGCTATCCTTCTCGAACTCCTCAAGGGTCTAGAGGAGATAAGCACTACTATGTTGGAGTTGGGGTTCCTGTATCTCCTCAGGGCTCTTCACACCCACATCCATCCCAGACTCAACTGAATAACCTTTAGCTCTCCTGCTGTGCACAGATGACCCCCAGGATAGGGGTACTGGGACCTGCGCATGGTCTGGGCTCATCTTCTATTCGTTTTGTTTGTTTTTTGTTTTTCAAGACAGGGTTTCTCTGTGTAGTTTTGGTTCCTGTCCTAGATCTCATTCCGTAGACCAGGATGACCTCGAACTCACAGAGATCTACCTGGCTCTGCCTCCCAAGTGCTGGGATCAAAGGTGTGTGCCACCACTGCCAGGCTCATCTTCTATTCTTACTCTGGATACTTCCTGTCACAGACCAGGTAACTGGCCGGTAACTGGCTCTTATGTCTCTAGGTCACTCTCCATCCTAGGCCATTTTCTGTTATACCTTGGTTTCTGTCTCTGATCCCACAAGACCCTGACTTGTATACACTATACACTCCCCAAACCTCATCTGTCCTCATGTGTCAGTAGTAATTCCTCTGAGAGGCAAATAGCCTCACTTACCAGAGTGCACTCCCAAACCTGAGACCCATGCTTCATCCTACCCGTGAGATCCTCTGCCTTGGGCCCGAGTCTGTCTATTCCTACCATGGGTCCTTGGGCAGGTAGCCTCCTATTCTCCTGGGCTTTCTTCCCTCTGTGTAGAGAGAGGCATGGTGGCCATGGCTTGGTGAGTCCAGGGAAAGCTGCGGGCTCTCTGCTTGCTCGTTGTGCCTGACACAGGAATCTCAGTCACGAAGCCATATGCAACCAGGAGTCAGTCTAGCTCTAGTCCCAGGAACAGTGGTCGGGTGGGAGGGGCCACTGTGTTCTCTTGCCTTTTGTCTCAGACCAAGCTCACTGGCCCAAGGACAGCCCTTTCTTTTATATCTTTGGGACAGAGCTCAGGGCCACACTCCATCAATGTCCCCTGGCCTTGAGTCCTTGGTTCTGGCAGCATGTGGATTCCCCTGACAGGCCCTTTAGGGGGTTGGACAATGCTGGGTACCTTGAGCTGGTACTTTTATTGATGGGGGAGCATAATGGCTTCTTAGTTGGCTCTTTCAAGGCTCAGGGGTACTGGGATGGTCTAAGCAGGGCAGGAGGTTGGAAAGTGTGTGGGGGGGTAGGAGAGTGCATCCCACACACCAAGCCTCTGAAGACATGGGAAACCCAGAGGATGTGATGTGCTTGGGGTCTAGGAAGGACCTTGGGGTGCACTGAGCCATGAGATCCTTTGGGTGGTAGCCCATAGCCTTTGACATCAAGTGGAAAGTGGGAGTGAACATGGGGGAGTAGCAAGTATTTATATGTTCTGTAGAGACGTTCGAGGCCTCTCATTCCACATTGGGACTGTACTTGGATTGCTTATACAGAACAGGTGAGGCTCAGGCCTGGCCCCCGGGGCAGGGGGTGACCATGCTGGGAGAAGACCTGGCATCAATGCTGTGGTCTGTTCTAAAGAGGCTAAGCTGGCCTCCCCTAACGCTGCTGTGGACTAGGGTGTTGTTGCCTGAATCAAGCTGGTCCACAGTGTGTCTCCTACACACTCACACTCCTGCCAAATGCCAACCCTTTACTGGAGTCCCTGTGGAACCTTTGGTCCGAGGGCCACTGCTCCTAGCTCCAGCACACGTGCAAAGCTGATGGTGGTGGAGACCATTTTATCCCCGTCCAAACACTGGATCTGGCTGTGTCCCACCTAAGATGGGGCTGTTTTCCTCAGCCCCTTTCCTACCAGCCACTGAGCCCTACTGATTAACTCAGCCCTGCCTGACCCGAACATAACTAGCCAGACATTTTCAGGGGATGATGGGGCCCAAGCCCTCTGAAGCCAGACTTCACACTGTGTCCACATGCTGAATAGGATTTGGAGATTTGTGTAAGGGGGTCCTGCCGTTTCACTTGGCCAATCCCAAAATGGGTTTTCCTCCAAGTATTAGGTCAGGGGGCACCTGTAGTCAACAGAAGCCATTGCTAAGGAGGTATTTGAGTAATGACAAACATCTAAATGAGAAAAGCCCACTAGCTGGCCAGCCAGCGGGGTGATGGATGGCCTATGGAGTTGGGACAGAGGCCTGCTGCCTGGGCTAGCACTGAAACCGTCTACTGGGGCCGCTCATGGTCTGGCATGCTCTCTCTCATGAAGTCACATTCTAGGGGGGGCGAGGGGGGGAGCGGCTGGGAATGTGCTTTTCATGTTGGCCAAAGATACACACAGTACTTTGAGCAACAATCCTACAGGCCCAGGTTCTTGAGAAACAAAGATGAATCAAAATATTTACAACCTAGCTGTTCACAGATTCATTCATTCATTCATTCATTCATTCATTCATTCATTCATTCCACAGGCTAATATTGAGCACTGACTGGGGTGAAAGAGACTATGGCTCCTCTCTGGTATGCTTAGCCAAACAGAGCCATTATTGCCAGCACCCTCTTGCTCTCCCACACTTAGCCACCACACATACCCCCATCCTCAATGATGCCACTGCATGGGCCAAATGCTTTTCTCACAAGGAAGGAGATGTGACTCTCTCCCAAGCTCATGCCTACCATCAAGTCATTGCTCTTGCCTGAAACACAAGTCAGGTGGTATGCTATTTTGTCTTAATTAAGAGCATTTGTGTATGGTGGGCAGTATTCAGCTCCCACTCAAGGTGGACTCTCTGGCAGGGGACTGGTGGGGGCAGGGGCAGCCAGTGTTACCCGTCAAAGAGGAAGTCCCCTCCAGGGCCAGGCTCCTGAGGGAGGTGGGCAGGGAGCCAGCTGGAAGCAGGCCTGAATAGCACAATGCTTTGTGGCTTCGTGGGTTTGTGGCTTTGCACAGTCCCCTAACATATGTGGGAGTGGTTTCACCTCCTCACCCCAGGCCTTCCCCAAGGGCCTCTTACCAGTGAAGGCTGGCTGGGAGCTAGAGCACAGGTTTGGGACAGGGCTCAAGACCTGGAGGGCCAGAGTGGGCTGTAATTCACATGAAATACATATTTATATCAAATCCTCCAATCACCCACTTGCAAAGGGCCACTCACATTTCCAAGCCACAGCAGGATGAAGGGCCAGACCTGAGCTGCCCAGGGGTGGAACAAGGGACTGTCACTTAGAACAATCAGTCCCTGCGACAGGAGCTGGGGAAGAACCCAGACTGGCAGCAGAGTATGGGTACCCTAGATCAGGCCTCCTGCCGTCACTATTCCACAGCAAGCCAGCCACTGCCTCACCCTCCAGACACTGTGCATGTGGCAGGCCTTTGGGTTTCATCAAAGAGGCAGATAGTGGAGGGTGGAGAGTTGGGGGCTATGTGCCAATCAAAAGCGAGGCCCTACTAGCCTCATCTTGACCTCTGTCATGGTGATCGTCAGGTCTCCGGTGACCGTTCCTTCAGTTTGTGTCAAACCTGTGTGAGCAGGAAGCAGTACAGTAGCTCTCACCAGTGCTGTGACAGACTCGGCAGGCTCCAAACTGCTGCTGGGTGAATTCTAAATCATAGTCAGAGACTGAGTCAAGTGACAGGAGACTATCTAGCTGTTGATTTTACTAAGCGCTAATGGCTCTATTTTGTTTTTGAACTTGGTTCTCACACCATTCACTTGCACTTGTCTGCTGTCTATTTACCTTTCTATTCACCTACTCAACCAACCATTTATCTACCCACTTATTCATCCACCCATCCACCCACCTACCTACTCACTCATCCATCCATCAACTGCTCTTCCATTCATCCAGCTATCCACCCACTCAAGTATCTATCTATCCACTCACCCATCTACTCATCTATCCATTCACCTTTCTGTCCATCTGTCCATCTACCACTGTAACCTGGATTGTAGTTGGGTTCCTCTAGCTTGTAAACCCCTCCCTTTCAGAGCAGTCTGACTTCAGAGCGTATGCGGATACACTGGGAGAGGCCTGGCCTATGTGAAGTGACCAAGGGGAGCTGACGCTGCCCATGCCCTTTGTTTTATTCCTCCTAATCTCTCTGGATGGGTTGGGAGGGTTCTTGCACCCAGACCTCAGTAAAGGCCGCAGATGGTGGATGTAGTGTCTCCAGCATAAGGCAGAGCTATGAGGTGAAAGGGGGACCGTCCTCCACAGACACATGTCCTTGAACCCTCACTTTCAGGTGCAGGGCTTAAGCTCTGTAGATTCCATGAAGTTGAACAGCACAGATGTCAACATTGTGTTGTCACACTCAGTCATTATACCCCAACCCTGCTGTCAAGTGTTCCCAAGAGAGTAGTAGCTGGCCAGTGTCCACTATCAGGGTCCCTGGGCTTAGAGTGTTGACCTTCCCAGGCTGGTTCTACTCACAGGCACCACCTGTTACTACAGATGAATGCCTGAGCCTGTTAGTCTTGGGTATCCCTCAGCAGAGGTTCCTGGCATGGTAGCCTGGCATAGGAGGTCCAGCCTGAGTGGTGGGAGCCTCTGATACAAGTTTACTGCCGTCTTCCTCAGGAGATCGTCCTGGTGGTGTTCTTTGGGACAGAGTATGTGGTCCGCCTCTGGTCTGCAGGCTGCCGCAGCAAGTACGTGGGCATCTGGGGCCGGCTGCGCTTTGCCCGGAAGCCCATTTCCATCATTGGTGAGTTCCACTTACCCATCCTGCAGACACTCCATCCCACACTCCTGCATCCAGAAGGGCATCCCCCATTACAGTCACCCCCAGAGAGTCCCCATGGACTGAGACACTCCCCCACACATTATTCTTCCTGCATGAGACAGGCCCTAAGGCCAACAGGAAGTATGCCCAGCTCCCCCAGCACTGGAGCCACAGCTGCATGTGACTCTCCTTGCTCAGTGTGGCTTGACAGGCTTTAGGCTCTGTCTGCTCTGGCTTGGGTAAAGACACAGGCATGCGTCCCCATCAAGATTGTTCCTGTGCCCATCTTGCTTGAGTGTCATATCACCTGGGGGTGGGTGGGGGGACACAACCTCCCCAGATTTCTGGATTTATTCCGGAAGTAATGACCAGCTGCCCCTCCCACAGACCTCATCGTGGTTGTAGCCTCTATGGTTGTTCTCTGTGTGGGCTCCAAAGGACAAGTGTTTGCCACATCAGCTATCAGGTATGTTGGCTCTTCCATTCCTCCCTGTGAGGCAGTACCCATCACAAAGCTCCCTCCTCTTAAGCAGTAGCCTCTCCCTCCCTGGTTCTTTCATGGTGAGTGGGGAAGGGGCAGGCTGGCCATAGTTTGTAATATTGAGACAGTAGGAAACCCTGGGTTCAAGGCCTGACCATAGCACTTCCTAGCTCCTAGGACTTAGGTGATAACCTGACTGTGTACTTGCAATGTGAGTGACCCTGGGCAGCCACCTGAAAGGGCTCCTGGAGTGAGGGTTCACAGGCATCTGTAGGAAGCAAGATGGCCCCCGTACAGAGTGACATGTGTGTCTCCTCTACCCATTGGAGGCTTGGTGGGGACAGGAACATAGGGAGCTTGTGACCACCATGGCCCTCTCAGCCCCTCTCTCCCTGCTTCTTAGGGGCATCCGCTTCCTTCAGATCCTGCGGATGCTGCACGTTGATCGCCAGGGGGGTACCTGGAGGCTTCTGGGCTCTGTAGTCTTCATTCACCGTCAGGTGAGTGAGCCCGGTGTGGGCAGGACAGAAGCTGGCCACCCTACAGGAGGAGGGCTGGAGATTCACAAGGTCAGGATACAGGGTTGGGGGTATCTTAGCACCTGGACCCCAGCTGAGTAACCCAGGGCTAAGCAGGTACCAAGGCATGTGGGTCTGAAGACAGCATCCCAGATCCTTCCCAGTCTGAACCTACTCCATATCCATGATGACAGCATACTTGGCCTGCCAACAATGCAGAGCTGATGCCAGCTCCCTCAGGCTTGGGACAAAAGACCACTGGGTCCTGTAGAAAATGTTAAATGAAGAACAGATTTAGGAAGCATGGAAATCAAGGATGGTGCAGTGGTGAGAGTCTTAGATACCTTCCGGAGGCAACTTTTTCTCAGAGAGGCTTCCGGAGACACCTGACTCTAAGTACTGTCCTGTCATGAGAACAGAGGAAGATGTGTGGACCCCAGTGGCTGGTTCAGTGTGAGAGCTGAGACTGCCTCACTGCTAAGTGGTATTATCTACCATTTTCAAAAGCTATGAAAACTGGGTTATTCTGAAAGGTGATTTCTGCATGTATAGCATGCTATAGCCAACATAGTATAATCTAGCAAATGCTAGAACTTTGTACCAAGGCACTTCTCTCACCACACCTATGGGGCTCTGGACCACAGGGTATGTGAGCATGGCTGATGTGTTGTCTGTCCCCAGGAGCTGATCACCACCTTGTACATTGGCTTTCTGGGTCTTATCTTCTCCTCCTACTTTGTCTACCTGGCTGAGAAAGATGCAGTGAACGAGTCCGGCCGCATCGAGTTTGGCAGCTATGCGGATGCTCTGTGGTGGGGGGTGGTAAGTTGGAAGCTTTTGCTGGGGTGTCTCAGGTGGGGGACACATGGACCTGGGCAGTACAGGTTGAGTACTGGGCTCTACTTGCTCAATTTTAGTTTAGTTTTGTTTTGTTTTTTGTTTTTGCCTCCTCCACTGAGGCTACTAACTCCAACACTGCCAACTTTTCAACCACAAAATTTGCACTTGAAGCCTACAGTATGGGTTCCTGTGTACCACAATGTGTGTTCCCTGGTCCCTGTCTTAAAATGTGAACATGGTTATCCTTCAACTTCTGGTCTGGAAAGGAAGGATGATGGGACAAGGGAGTGCAAAGTGGTGCGTGGTACCTCAACCATAGGGTGATCTTTACCCTGGAGGGGTCCTGGGCTCAGAGTGTGGCAAGGGGTCAAATGCATACTTTGCATGTCTTTGGTGTCTGTGCTGACCCAGTGAGCACACCTGTGCCAAGGATCAAGACATGAGATGACATAATGACATCAAGGTCCTTGGGGGCTGGGAGGAAGAAGCAGGGGTTTGTGTGGATGTGAGGTTTGCACAGTCCTTCATTGCCCCAGGCAGCAATACTGTGAGTACCAGCCAGGCCCTAAGGTTATGAAGCTGGTCATGGGCCTCCTGGGTCAGCATGACTCCAGACCTGCTGAGTTGCCAGTCTGTGTGGAGGCTGGTGTGTGACAGGTGACCTCTCATGCTAGGACCGAATGTCCCAAGGTGTGGTGATGTTGTGTGCAGGCGTGTGTGTGTGTGTGTGTGTGTGTGTGTGTGTGTGTGTGTGTGTGTGAGAGAGAGAGAGAGAGAGAGAGAGAGAGAGAGAGAGAGAGAGAGAGAGAGAGAGAAAGGATGTGTGTGTGAGAGAGGGAATGTGTGTGAGAAACTGTGTAAGAGAGTGTGTGTGACAGAGTGTGTATGTGAGAGTGTGTGTGTGAGAGAGAGACAGACAGAGAGAGAGTATGTTGGGGGTAGACTATGACTCCCCAGGAGTCAGCTAGAAGGCAAGGGAAGGAGAGGTTCCCGTGAGATGGTGCTGAAGAAATCCAGGCTACACTCTTAGAGCGCTTGGAACCATTGCTCATGGCCAAAAAGCCTGTGGCTAAGGCAATTAGGGGCCTTTCTGACTGCCAGTGTCCTCCAGAAGTTGATGGCTGTCACATGGCCTTCAGGTCCTCCTCTGAAAGCAGGCTTTGTTCAGGCATTGAATGTTGAGGACCCCTGCACTCCAGGGAACACAAATACCTAACAGGAACACACAGTTCAGAGCAGTTGTGGGCTACCCCTGACTCTATCTCACCCCCGCCCTATCCCACCCCACCCAGCTGTGAGGGCAATAGGCTGTCTAGATGTTATACAGAGAGGCACCATCATTCCTAGAGGAGCTACCAGGGCTGGTACCCCTGGGTGGGCATGAAGATACCAGAGCCAAGCCCATCCCATCCAACATTCTCAGTCTGTCGGCCTTGGAGCTCACTAGGCTAGTGAAAAGGTTGGTTGGATTGTGGCAGTCTACAGAAAGGGACAGCACAGGCTCTGGGAACCTGGCGCAGGGCAAGCAGTCACACGTGGTGGTGATGGCCACATTGGGCCCTGGTTTAAGTGTTTGTTCCCAAATACCCCAACCAGGAATGAACAGTTTTTGAGGCTTGCTCACTCTTCGAGCTTCTAGATTAAGGTGGAGACAGGAAGCTGGGGCAAATACATGTTCCCACAATTCCTGAGTGCCCCCAGGAAGCAGGGTACACAACAGGAACTCTTGACATTGGCTGAGTCAGTCTGTTTTCTGGATGTTTCCAGCATTCTAAACAACTTAGGGAAGGTAAGGACATGCTGACAAGCTCCCAGGTTGGGGCAGGCCTCTGTCTACCCTTCAGGGGCCAATGTCCCCCAGATACCCTGGTATGACAGGAATAAGTAGGATGGGTAGGACAGCTCAATGCCCTGGTTAGGAAGCTTGCCTGTGGGAGGGGGACACATCCCAGGGACATAGCTGGGTCTGCATGGGGGTGGGGGTGGAAGGCTACTCAAAGCCAGAGTTCTCTGGTGGGAGAGGGGCAATGCTGGCTGAGGTACAGCAGGAAGTGAGTGGGTGACTGCCCACAGTGTGGCTGATAAGTGGTGCCCAACCTTAGCAGTGCCCAGCCTTGGGGCTACCCTGCCTGCGTTCCCAGCCTCCTGCAGAAGCTGTTTCCCAGCCCCCTGGCCCCTGGCCCCCCAGTCCTCGGCAGAGAGGCGCCCCCACTCCCACACCTGTGCAAACATCCGCCCGCCGGCCGGGAACACGGCCCCTTTGTGCCCAGCTTGGCACCGGTGCTCCGGCGTACTCTGTCAGCTGCAGTCCGGGCCTCGGCCACAGCGCACCCTGGCCTGGCCATTGTTCCCACGAGGCCCTGTGCCCTTGGCTGCCTAGGGCCCCCCAGCACCCAGCTCAGGGGGCCAGCAGCCCCCATTCATTCAGCGGCTGTCTCTGCAGCTGTCGGGTGGGAGCAGCCCAAGGCTGTGTTCCTGGCACCTCTAGGGTAATCAGAACTTGAGTGCTGCAGGACAGGGGCAGCCGGGCTCAGAGTTCTGTAGCCTTGTGCCAATGAACAGTCATCTCCTTTGTCTCCCCTCATTCCACAAGGGGAGTACGTCCCCACCCTGCTCCTGGGCTTCTCATCTGTACAGTGTGTGTGTGTGTGTGTGTGTGTGTGTGTGTGTGTGTGTGTGTGTGTGTGTGTGTGTGTGTGTGTTGGGGGTGGGTGGGGTGAGCACCCACAGGTGAGAGAATTTTCAGAAGGCCAGACCCCTCTACTATCCACTGTGTCTGTCCCAGGCCAGGCCTCAAGCCCTGTCCCCTGTCCTAAAGGGTGTTGGCTGGACCCTAAGAGCTGGACTAGCTTCGCCTAAGGTACACTGAGGTAGGACTGGGCACAGAGGCATGCCTGCATGGACTGGAACTTCTCTCACCTTATTAGCCTGGGGAGGCTGTGATGAAGCTGAGGGTCCTCCACTGGCCAGTGTTTGTTCACTGAGCAAGTGAACTAGATGAATGGGGGCAGGAAAGCCTGTCCACTGCCACACTGCCGGTTCTGTCGAGATCCCACAGCTCTGAAGACCAAAATCTGAAACTGAGGCAGGGGCAGGACTGTGCTCGCTTGGAAGGCTCTGGGGGGAGGGCCTTTCATTATTAAGTCTGGTTTCTGGTGGCCTGAGCATCCTGTGTTGTTCCTTTGTGTTTCATGCGGACACATATCACTGGATTAGGATCCACCCAGGGGACCCAGAAGAAGGCTGTAATTCTGAATAAGACCATAGTCTATGTGTGTGAGGGGGTGGTGAGCCATGTGGGTCACACAGTTAAGTTCAGAATGTAGGTATCCAGGCAGTATTTTGTGGGGCTGCCTGTCTTCACAGACCATGGGCTCCCATAAGCTGGAAAACAAAGGTGCCTGCTCCATGGGACTGTGTCCCCTTCCTCTGGTTGGAATATCTACATGGGTGTGAGGTCCCAGAACCCCCTAATGTAACGTCCAACGTGTGGCTGTGAAGCATTTGGGGAGCTCCTCAGACTTTTCCCTTACCTCTGGAACAGAATGCATTTGTTTGTATTAGGGTTTGAGCACAGGCAAAAGCCGTTTCTGCAAACACGGGCTCCTCTGTTTAGTGCCTGGGGGTCTCTGAAAACAGGCGGCTGCTGGGCTCTGTTTACCCCGAGTGGATAAACACAGAACTTAAGTGAACAGGCTGGAACCCCACCCTGTGTTTCAGTCCCTTAAAAAACCCAGTCTGACAGCATTTCATTCCTCACCTGGAGGCTTTGGAAAGTTCCCACCTCCCAGGCTGGACTGCATCCTGCAGAGTCAGGCCAGGGGGGCTTTAGGGTGGGGAGGTCTCCTAGATGATCCCATGCAAGCTCTGTAGAACTATCCGTAGGGGATGTGATTCTTCAGGAATATTCTGACTACGGAGAAGTGAAGGCTAGAGCATGGCCCAGGGCTTGCGGCACTCAGCCTTTTCCTCTTCCATGTAGGTTCTATGAGTATCATGCAGCTAGGGCTGAGGGCCTGCCAGGGACCCTTGCCAGTGAGCTCTTCCCAAGGAGGGGTCTTTAGAGGATGACTAGGAGTCTAAAAAGCACATCCATCTTGTGGTTGTTGTTCAATAGCCAGTGCCTACAGATGTATTACACAGACTCAGAAGGTCTGGTGATGGTGGTGCACAGGAGTCTAGTTCATGCCATTGAGGAGGTGCCTGTGTGAGGCTCAGGAATAGAGCTTCCCAGTTACCCTTCCGCCTGGAGGAAGCAGACAGTATCAGAAGGTAGTGAAACATGAGTTACGGGGGTGACCCAGTATGAGGCTGATGTAGAGACCAAGCTGTACTCACCAGGCATCAGCTGTGTGGTCCTGGACATGTCAACTAACCTCTTTGGATACATCTAATCCATGACTATAAATAAGAGTTAAGTTGTTGAGCATGCGGGAAGCTGAGCTCCAGCCATGATTGTGATTGTAGATTCTGGACCAGACCTCCTCCAGACTCACAAGGAGAGGACTAGGTACCACTAGTTCTGGAAGCCCTCCCAGTCTTTTATTCCTTGATACAGGAGCTTGTTCCAGAGGATGAGGGGGACCATGAACCATAGGCTGCCCTGCAGGTTCTGTCACTGGGACAGCGATCTGTGAACTCAAGTGGGGATGGCTCAGGTGACCTACTGTTGGTTGGGTCCTAGAAAGGTCCCCTCTGTTCACTGGCCTAGGAGACTTGCAGATCTGGCTGTTGGGGATAGGTTCTAGACAGCTCAATAAAACAGCCCATTCCTGAATTGCTGTCTGTGATTTCAGGAAAAACAACTTGACAGGGACAGGTCACCTGAGAGTGAGGACTCATGAACTGGACTAGGGGGCTGTGGTGGCCCAGGAGAAGGAAGAGGGTCCTAGTAGTTAGGTGCCCTCCAACAGGGGACTGGCCAGCACTCAGGACCACTGCACTGGAGCCTTCCTCCTACTGATCCTAGGAGTGGAGGGGCAGTTAAGACCTTAGGGAAAAGGCATAGGCATGGCCTCAGGTCTCTTTCCTGCATAAGTAATTTCCTCCCCACTCACCTGTGTTTCTTCCCAGCTTGCCATCTAGACCATTACCCTTCCATCTTTATAGATGTTTTCCTTCCTTCCTTTCTTCCTTTTTTTTGGGGGGGGGGGATAGGTTTCATATAGCCCAGGCTAGCCTCAAACAAACCATATATCCCAGATGACCTTGAACTCTTGATGGCTGCAGGCCAGGATCTGCCTTTGTAAGTAGCTCCTGACATGTGCTTGGCTCCCTAGAGAAGGCAGCTGTGAGCCAGCTGTCACATGTGGGGTACAGTCCCGCTGGGAAGATACTACTAGCTAGGAGCTTCAGCTCACTTGGGCCCTCCACTCAGCAGCCTGCTGGCAGCCATGCCCTCAGTCCCAGGAGTGGCTTGGCTTCCACTTACACAATCTGAGCTGTTTCAGGGGTGTGTGTGTGTGTGTGTGTGTGTGTGTGTGTGTGTGTGTGTGTGACTATAAGACGTCTGGACAGCATGTGCCCTGGCTGTCAGTCATGGATGTGACCTTTAGACCTCTTTGTGAACTTATGCAGTGTGTATGCACCCCCCTCATGGTGTCTCATTTCTGTCAGTGGTGCATGTTCCCACGTGTGTGTGTGTGTGTGTGTGTGTGTGTGTGTGTGAGAGAGAGAGAGAGAGAGAGAGAGAGAGAGAGAGAGAGAGAGAGAGAGAGAGAGGGTGTCCCTGTCTCCTTGTGAGGCACGTTTACAAGTGTATGGCCACATATGTAGAACAGGGTGGTCCCTTTAAAGGGCCCAGCCATGAATGACTTGCTATGCCCTCTGTTTGTGTGGGGTGTGGATTTGTTTAAGGCTAACGACATTGTGGGGAAGGTTTCATGTGGGCAGTTGTGGGAAACACCAGTATGCAGCCCCTACAGCCTGGTGCAGCACTGAAGGGGTGGCCCACTGGTGGCCTGGGCCTAGCTGTGGCCTGCTTCAGCTGTGGCCTGCTCTGTTGTTTGCCATTCAGGGAAATTGACCTGTTGATTCATGACCTGTTAGCATACTGGCCAGAGTGACAGACTTGGCACTGTGGGGTTACTCCTGCTGTCCTTGTCCTCTGCCCCCCGGCTGTACTTGCTCAGAGTACTTGCCTGCACTGTGAGCACCTATCCCTATATCCACTCACATGTGCCTGGTCACCTCTGATCCCCAGACCTCTCTTGCCTTCCCCTCCTCCTCAGTGGCCACTGGGGAACAGCAGTGGTCCAAAGTGAAGTCTCTCTGGGAATGGAGTGGGCAGTGATGGCCAGGAGGGATCTTGAGGCTTCCTCTCTGGTCCTCACTTCAATTGGAGTCTATTAGGTGGTGTTCCCCAGGCCTCATCCTTGCTGACCCTGTTGGGCAGGGGTCACTTAGGGGTTCTCATTACGGTCTTGGATGGGGGTTGTCCCTTGGCCCCTGGGGAGACAGCTGAGGTGCCTAGAGTGAGCAGTCTAGGAAGACCTTGAATGGGCAGGCTCTCCCATCGCACTGACCTGCCTTAGCTGCAGGGCAGACCTGGACAACGTGTTGTGACCCCAGTGGCCGTGTGTGAGTGTGTGTGACCACCCTGGTCTTTCCAGCGAGCCCAAGGCAGCCTCATGGTATGACCTAGCAGTTAAGTTAGGCACAGCCAGGGTGGGCCCCCAAGTCCCTCACCAGAGGGCTCAGGAACAAACCTCAGATGACAGCAGAGGGTGGCCTACGGGGGCAGCCCCTCACTCCTATTGTCCCACTGCACACCCTGGACGCTGCTCTCCCACAGAGAAGAAGGCTAGCGCCTTGTCTTATTCTCTCTGAAAAGGAAAAATGAAACATCTGGATCCCTGGGCTGGTGGCAGGAAGCAGCACTCAGCCCCATCCTGGGGCTTTGTGGACCGCTGGCCTCAGTGGGAGCTTCCGGCCTCCTGGGGGCCAGTGTACAGCAACTTCGGTGGCCAGGACAGGGCTCCTTGGGATGGGGCAGGAAGCCTGGCCCCTGTGGGTGGCCTCTGAGCTGTTTGCCTGTCCTGCACACCCCAAGCTCTCTACAACCCCAGGGCTGTGCCATCTGTGGTAGTCAGAGTTGAGGGACTAAGGAGACAGAAACTTGAACCAATTTACCAGTGCCATCCCTGGGACTTTCTCAGAACTGTGCCTCACTATTATGGTGGATAGGGTTTTAGGTTGGCTCTCTTGTTGTCAAGACACTGGGTTGGGGCTGGTGGGTGTCCTTTCTGGGGTTCTCATCCCACCAGCCACTGACTGCGGTCCTTCTTCCTTGCAGGTCACAGTCACCACCATTGGCTATGGGGATAAGGTACCCCAGACATGGGTTGGGAAGACCATCGCCTCCTGTTTCTCTGTCTTCGCCATATCCTTCTTCGCACTCCCAGCGGTAGGCACCCATCTGGACCTTCTCCTTTGTTTCCCATGAATCCTTGCCCCAACTCCTGGGCATCCCGTGAGGTAGAGTATGAGGTAGCCTGTTGTGGTGCTTGACAGAAGCAGTAAGGTACAGAGGAGCAGACAGGGCAGAACCTGTAGGCCTGCTCTGCAGCTAGGAATAGCTCTATATCATGACCTTTCCAGAAATCACAGACCCATGTCTACACATGTGTGCTATGTGGGACACACACTGGTTACTTGTACATATGTGTCATTGTAGGTGTGTCTTATACATGTTGTATATACATACTGTACACATGTGTTGCATGCATAAGTATCTGTGTTACATTTGAATAGCATATTTACCATATGTTCTGTGTATGTGTACATGTTATTTATATACGTATTTGAGATTTCCTGTGTGTCATGTGTACACATATATTTGCACATATGTTCCACAGCTATATAGTATCTGTTGCATGAGTCTCTGCAGCACATGGCAGACAGTGTGTTCATGTGTCTGTTGTACATGCATGTGTGACATATAGACATAGGTCATTACATATGGTATGTGTCTCCTGCATGGCCTCCAGGTGCTAAGGCAGCACTCTTTCTCTGCCACTGCTCTCCTTGGACACCCTGGCTGCAGTAACTGTGGGATCCTTGTTGAGGACAGGCACAAACTCCTGCTCCCCTGGGGGTATGGTCCCTCTACCATAGGGACACAGGCTGATGGCTAACCCACCTGGCTTTCTACAGGTGGTGCCTAGGAATGGATAGAGACTCAGATCTCTTCTGGAGCCAGGCTTCATGTTGAATCAGCCCTGTGAAGTGGGTTCTGCCTCCCTGGGTGGTGAGGTCAAGCAGGCTGAGCCTAGTGACTACCCTCAGGTGGCATCTGCTGTATCTCATACCCACCTCCTGGTGGTGCCTGCCTTGCCACAGCCCTGGGCACTGTGCAAGCCTGGTCTCCAGGTGCTTTTTGCCTCTTGTTCTTCCTTGGGACCTTTGTTCTTTGTTGGGAACTGCCCAGCATGGCCCATGTGAAGAGGACACCTTCTGTCCCTTACCAGGGGATACTTGGCTCCGGGTTTGCCCTGAAGGTCCAGCAGAAGCAGAGGCAGAAGCACTTCAACCGGCAGATCCCAGCCGCAGCATCACTCATCCAGGTATGTGCTGTGTGTGCCTGGCGGGCTGGCAATGCTGTGTGCTTGGGAATTGGAACCACTCCCAGCCACGTCCACTGCCCGAGAGGAATGGGTCCTTTTGCTGTGGCTCCTCCCACGGTGAGGTGGCTCTCTGGGAAAGTACCCACTATTGGGATGACAGGATGGGCACAGAAATGCAGGACCATCGCTCCCCATACTATTCCCATTGAGGGCCCTACTTGCAGGCTAGGGCGAGGCCTGACCATGGCCATTCAGCCAGTCTGTATTCCGCCAGTCAGCCTCTGGAGGCAGGGACAAGTGAGATAGAGAGAGAGAGAGAGAGAGAGAGAGAGAGAGAGAGAGAGAGGGAGAGAGAGAGAGAGAGAAGGCCCAGGACGCAGCCTGTATAGTGGCAATGCCTCTGGGAGGCTTGGCATCTCTTAGGACCAGTGGTGATTGGTGAGAGTAGTAGGTTCAACAGTCAAACAGCACAGGCTACTTCTCAGAAGGCTGGAAGTTAGGGACTGCAGAGCCTGAGAGCAAAAAGGTTCTAAATGTCGCTGAGGAGATGGCGGGTTTTGCTATGTACTCCCTTAGGAGCACTCCAGAGAACTGGATTGCCCTTCAATGGCAGAGAAACCCATTGCAAACCGGGTCCCTGTGTTTTTTCATTTATCCAGTGAGGGCCCGGAGCATGGATGTCCTGCATGAGCCAATATAGCCTGGATGTGGACATAACCCTCTAACCAGAGTAATGGTTAAGATCACTGTGTGAACCCCTCTAGATCAAGTGGAGCTGCCCACATAGGGTGTGCATGGGACATACAGCCCTTGGAAGGGCCTCTAAACTGTCCCAGGTCATAGGTACCCCTGCCTGGGTTTTGTGTCTGTGCTAGATTCCTGTCATAGAATGGGGGCTGTCCCCCAGAAACCTTGCCAGCATGTAGAACTTTCAACCAGCTTTACTTTCTTATGCTCATAAGGCCTGTAGTGACAAAGCCACCATATGCCCCCATAAGAGGCTCTGGCATCTGTTCCTTCCTCCTCTTACTCCCTTGGCTCCCTCAGGCCCCTCTAGGTCATCTTGCTGTGATGACTATGGGGAGGAGAAGTCCCTCTAGAATGTTGGCCAAGAGTTTCATTTATAGTCATCAGAAACTCCTCATAGCCACAATCTAGCACCTGAAGCCCCTGGGAGGCCTCATCTCCTGCTGGTCCCTGGGGCTCCAATCCACACCATGCTGGTGCTCACACAGGCCTGGGCAGCCCTTTTCTACTATCCTTCTCTGGGGGAAACTGGTTATCTAACTCTGCCTTAGTTAATATATCTGGGGCTTGTTCAAGGTCACTCTTCAGAAGGGGCTCCCGTAACAGGCAAAGGTCTTGTTTAGTATCTGAGCTACGACTGATAGATAGTTGATGCATGAGGCAGTCCCCTTCCTAGCCTAGAGGGCCAAGTCCTGCTATCAGGGAAGGGGCCTGGGAACAAGTTGGGCCTGGGACTCCAGGAGGAGCTGAAGATTTTCCAAGTGGTACCATTGAGTGGCTGGATCAATGACCCCTTCCTTCTTTCCCCTCTGCCTAATATCAGACTGCATGGAGGTGCTATGCTGCTGAGAACCCTGACTCATCCACCTGGAAGATCTATGTCCGGAAGCCTGCCCGGAGTCACACTCTGCTGTCCCCCAGCCCCAAGCCTAAGAAGTCTGTCATGGTAAGCAGCCTTACCAGCCACTAGAATGGGGATTGCATATTAGCAGCTCAGGAAGCTGGAGAGGCTGAGCATGAGACCCCGGTATTGCTATTCAGGGTAGTACTCATCAAGGTGCCACCATCATTCTGAGGTCAAGGAAGTTTGACCTGATCCCTGCTGTCCTTATGTCCCCCACCCTTAGAGCCATATTGGACTGACCATGCCAAGACCAGGATAGGTCTTAAGAGAATGCTTCTGGAATTGGATGGGCTGGATCCATCAGTTACTGGAACAAAGCTCTTGAGGGGACCCTGGTGCTCATTTTCCTTGTTGGGTACAGCAGGCAGAAGAGGAAGGTATAGGAGCTCTAGACCACAGAGGAGGGAATTTCCAGCAGTTGTGGGCAAGAGTCCTGCCATCTACCTGGAGCAATGAGGAAAATGTTGGGGCTCTTCTCTTTCCCAGCCATCACCCTCACTTTCCTTGAAGAGACAACCTTCCCAGCTTCCAACTGTCACTGGATACTTAAACTTGCTCTTCCCTCTGTCTGAATGCTCTCCCTGGCTTCACACAACCTGTTCCCTCACTTTCTCCAGGAGACCTCTTCAAAGATGCTCCAGTGCTCACAGGGTATCTCCTACCATAGTCTGCTGCCTTGGCCTTCAGCCATACTGGCCTGGTGCAAGCTTGCATATTTATAGCCTACTGTTGTTTTGTTTTGTTGATTTGTTTTGTCTGCCTGCCTTTCTTAGGCCATGGCTCATAGAGGGCCACAAGGGGCCAAGCAACACCCTGAACCCTCCAGCAGCATCAGCACACTGAAGCCTCACTCCACCAATGTCTGAGGGTACTAGAGCTCAGCCCTTGACCCAAGTCCCCTCAAGGGTACATATTTCAAGGCTGAACTCAGGACTCTACAGGTGCTCTGGGACTGGTTGACAATCTGGCAGATGGTGCTCAGGAAGTGCCACTCATCATGTGGACATTTTAGGTAAAGAAGAAGAAGTTCAAGCTGGACAAGGATAACGGGATGAGCCCTGGAGAGAAAATGTTCACTGTCCCTCACATCACATATGATCCCCCAGAGGATCGGAAGCCAGACCATGTCTCCATTGATGGCTATGACAGCTCAGGTAAGCAAGCTCCCATGTGTGTAGGGGCAGGGCACTCAGTGCTGACCCTGTAGCAGCGTCAATCTGACTTGGGGAGCTTCCATGCCACCCACTCTTAGTTCTCTCCTGGAATGCTGTCCATAAGGTCCTATAGCATATACACAGTCACTGCCTACCTTGGAATCCCATGCATAGCTTGAGGTCTCTGCTCCAGGAGGATGGAAGGCAGATTAGACCTGGAAGCTTCTGGAAGCTTTGATGTCATGTTCCCCTTGTCTTTCCCAAGGAGGTACTCACTACACAGTCTGTTGAGAGGATACCTACAGCTACCTTTAAATGTTGGGGGTCAGCATGGCTTGTCCTGGCCACAAAAGGGAAGGTGACATATATGTCCTGTTCACTGGGCTTCTCTCTTTCAGCACCCAAGTTCTGTGTTTGAAAAATGGCTGGGGTGACCTCTTGGAGATTTGCCCACTGACAGGGAAGTCCAAAGGTGAGGGTGGTAGACATGAGGCCTCTGCAGGCCCTAGAGGGCCAGTGACTGGCTGGTGAAATCATGGGGACATATGGAATTGGTTTCGGTGCCTTGATGGACAAACATTTCTTATGCAGCCCTAAGTCTGTATCCAGTGTCACCAGAACTGCTCTATATTCATTCTTCTGTGGGGCCTGGATGAGGCCAGGTTCATGGAACCTGGTGATAAGACTGCAGGTCTGTCCAAAGTTTGGATGCTTGGGTCCCAGTTCAAGTTTTGCCTCTGTTAAGCCATAGCGAGGCTCTGTAATACACATGTGAAAAGGGAACTCGGAGAGGTCAGGCCTATTTTCCAGGCCACACAGTGGGAATATGGCATGCCTCCAGATATGCCTCTGGGTCACCAGCTATAGGGCAGATAGGCTGTGGGTACTCTTGACACATCCTTCCTTTGGTCTGGAGACCCCTTTATCAAAGGACCACAGGAGGAGCACAAGGTATCCATTGACCAGAGAGACTTCTCCAGAGGTACATGTGCTGTTTCCATTATTATTATTTTTTTTTTTGGTTTTTCGAGACAGGGTTTCTCTGTGTAGCTTTGCGCCTTTCCTGGGACTCACTTGGTAGTCCAGGCTGGCCTCGAACTCACAGAGATCCGCCTGGCTCTGCTTCCCGAGTGCTGGGATTAAAGGCGTGCGCCACCACCGCCCGGCTTGCTGTTTCCATTATTATGGCATACTGTCAAGCACTTTCCCATGAGACAGGGCTGTATGGGTCTAGGACGCTCACATTCCTGGCCCCAGATACAAAGTGGACATTCTGAGTTTGTAGCATAACCCTTAGGAAACATTATAGGTGGCTGTATGGGTCTAGGACGCTCACATTCCTGGCCCCAGATACAAAGTGGACATTCTGAGTTTGTAGCATAACCCTTAGGAAACATTATAGGTGGCTGTAGAAGGGACCCTCTCTTTCCTGTAACTCTCATATCTCTCTGAAAAAAAAAATTTCAGTGCCCAGCTCAAGGTGTATGACTGAATTCTCTAGCAACTGTCTATAACTTAATTTGAATGGTTCTGGTCTTTTTATTCCTCTGAGTCAGTGTGGGTGTTGAGATAGTGATCTGTCAGTAGGACCAGGATGTGGCTCAACTCACTACATGCTTTTTGCTCAGCATCTATGGGAAACCCCTTAAACTGTCCTGCTGGCTGCTTCCTCTCAGGACTATTTACTGAGGCAAATGGTCCAAACATCCCAGTGTCCACACAGGTTCTGCATCCTCTGACTCAATCAAATAGCAGACTATTACATGGCAGTTGCTCTTCTAAAGAATCTGGAGATGTCATGAGGATGTGCAAGAAAGTTCCATGCAAATGTTTTCCTATTTTATCTAAGGGACTTGAATATCCATGAATTGGGGAAGTCCTGGAACCACTTCCCGAAAGACAGGGAGGAGAGACCTTGCAAATATTCCTAAAGTCCCTGCCCAAGATTCAGTCCTTAGGTGGAGGGGACATCTGACTGAAAGCACAAAGAAATGATAGTTGGGCTATGGCACTTGAGGTCAGGAGAAGCCTCTTACAGATGGAGAGGTAGAAGGTTGAGCCAAAGGAATGGATGTTCAGCTTACTCCCCACTTGACTACTAGCTCACTCCAGCAATGATAGGTAACTCAGGGCCTAGTGCCGGCTCCTGTGGTCCCAGTTTCTGCAAATCAGAATCTTGCCTCTAGTTCAGAATTGTTCCTGCTTACCTTCAATGAGTCCCAGGCTCTAAGGGGAGGCTTCATTTGAGTGTCCTGTTGAGGAATGGACATCCAGTTTCAGTATCTGGGCTGCCAACAGTCATGCCCAGCCTTGTGTGCCATGTGGTCAGGTCTTGTGCCTGGCAGGAAACAGGCACTGACATTGCACTGTGGTAGCATGGAAACTAAGGGTGCAGACCGACAATGTGTGGGCAGCACCATCTCCTGTGTCAAGACTCTGCCCCTCTGCTGTGTGCTCATTTAGGTCGGTGCCTCCCTTCTCAGATTTCTTCCCAATGCCTGGCACCTGCCAGAATGTTTGGGGACTAAGAATGTTCCAGAAACTTCCAGCTTGTTGGCAGATGTAAGGATAGTTTCAGGTATAGCAGAGGGTGACCAACAACATTGTTCCTCATCCTTCTCATAGGTGTCAGGGCCCTAGCCTACTAAGTTCAGCTTGTCCGAGGGCAGCTGACCTGTGTCCTGTGTCATTGTTCCCACCAATACATCTTGGCAGGAGGGTGGGAAGTGCTCAAGAAAGGGGCTGCGGCTGTTCTATGCTCCTGAAGGCTACCCTAGGCATCCCGTCTGTCAGGACCCAGTCTGGGCCCCACTCTACTGAGCGCCAAGCTGCTGCGTCCTCATCAGATGGCATGGGGATTTGGCTCAGGGCTGGCCACATCTCCATGAGCCCCTGGGACATACTCCCCGCCTGCCCACTGGAGCGGGCACAAAGGGCAATTGTGCCAACAAATGCCCAGTGCCCCTGCAGCTCTGCTTCAGGGGTAGGACCATTGTCTCAATGCAAATAGGGGCTTTCTGCTAATGCTAATGGGCAGGTTGGGCGTGAGCAGAGGCGGCAGGGATGCAGCCCTGTGCCTGCCCAGGAGAAGCATCACTCGATGTTTTCTGAATACGGGGCAGCAGTGTCCCTGCCGTCCATTCAGCCTGCTTAGTGTTATGAAGTCCGAAGTGATGTCTGTGGCATGTTAATGAGGTACACGAGCGGAGAAAGCAGCACTGCTTGTGGAATGCTCCCACACCGCACCATCTCTTTCTATTAATGAGATAAGTCAGCCTAGTCCAGAGCCACCAGATTTTGGAGACTGAGCTACTAGTCTGGCCCCTCTAAGGACCTGGGGTAACCCCTACCCCACAGGTTACCTGATATACTGAAGTCTCCTTATTTAAGAGGCTCTTGGGAATCTTAAGCACTCTGGCATGGAGACGGGGTGCTAATCCCAGTGGGGGAGGGATATCATCACTGGGAAAGCCCCAGAGTGTCTGCTCCCATGAAGCAGAGCCTAAGCAGTCACACTGACTTCTAGTGCCAGGCCAAACCCGGACTTGGACCTCAGCTGTGTGTGAGAACTAAAAAGCCATCATCTTGTCCTAGCATAGGACACACTCCTGTTCATGGTGTGCAAAAACTCATCTGCACACAGTCCTTCACTGTATGCTGAAGGTAGAAGTGGGATGCAGTGCTGTTCAAAGGTAAAGGTGACTGGACAGAGGCCCAGAATCATTCAGGGATCTCCCAAAGACATGCATGTATCCTAAGGAAACTCTTCTAGGTCACCTATGAGATATGTGCAGGTTTGTTGGACTTGGACTGGTAGAAGCAGGTAAGGGAAGGTGTCTCTTGGTGGTAGCATCAGGGTACCATCAGCCTTCCCTGCAGTGAAAATGGGGTATGTGTTCCTTATAGAGAAGCACTGTGAAAAGCAGGCAGGAGTCTACTCCTCCCCAGAAGGCCCACCACTCTTGCCATGATCTTGTGCTTTCAGTGAAGATGGAGGTAATGCCAACAGCTTATAGAGGGCACAGGGAACCATCTAGGCCTCTCTCTCTTGGAGGACTCAAGCCACATGCCATTCAACTTACTAGTATTCAAAAGGGATTGATATCCAGGTCTAAGTTGGAAGTACAGAGCAAGGCCCAGGGCCTTAGATGATGGAGAAGCCTGACACTGGTGACCTGACTACTACTGCCCATAGAAATCCTGAGGACTCACTTGTGGGCTTAGTGGACATCTAACACACTGACAGCCATTTCTCAGTGATGGCGTGGATGCATTATATGCAGAGATCCTGCTGTGGGTGGGGCTTGATTGTTTTCACGAATGTTGTAGGTCTGCCATCGTGTGTCAAACAGCAGCCCTGAATCCCAGGAGTTCACAAAGCTGTCAGTGACAGAGGTGCTTTCTGCAGGCCCTCCACTCCAGGCTGAGAGCCTGCCTGTATACGAATTTCTATGACCCCATAGGATTAAATTTTAAATGCTTTGCTGATCACTATATCATGTGGACACATCTCCTGAGCCTCATGAGACCTGGGTGTGTTCTAGGTACTATCACGCCACCTGCCCCCACAATACACACCTCTAGGCTGGTGTTGCCCAGTATTTTAGTTTTGCCTTTTTACAGTCTTCTGCATTAGTTGTTCACATTGCTAGTGGTGTGAACACTGAGGCTTGCTCACAGATTTAAATAAACTTCCTTCTTCTGGGAGTCTAGGCTTCCTCCAGGGATGGTCTTGGTGAGCATTCAGCTGCAGCTGGGTTGCATCTTTTAATTGTTCCTTGCTCCTGGATGATGGTTCAGTTTTGGGAAGAAAGTTATGTACAAACACCTCTTTGTACATGACCTTTTCACCCCTGGTGACTCTGAAAAATTCTCATTGGAGTTTAGTGTTATATAAACTATGATGTATCAAAGTGGTGGATCTCGTGTGTGTGTGTGTGTGTGTGTGTGTGTGTTTTATCATGGGTTGTGGTACTGACTCTTGAATCTGAGGGTTTATGTCTCTCATCAAGCAAGCAAAGTGGCTCCTATATCTACTGGAAACTGTTGTGTATATATGTATGTGTATGTGTGGGGGCCAGGGGACAACTTTGGTTATCATTCTCAGAAACACCATCTCCTCCTTGGAGATGGCGTCTCTCATTAATGAGCTCTAATTCATTAATTAGGCTAGACTGTCAGGTCAGTGAGCCCAGGAATCCTCCTCTCTCTGCCTCCCCACTGCTGGGATTTCAAGCACATGCCAACATACCATGCAGATTTGTATGTGTTCTGGGAATCAAACCAAGGTCCCCAGGCATGTAAAGCAAGCACTTTCAGGCTGAACTCTCTTCCAAGCCTCCCCTCTAGAATCTTCTATGGGACCATCTCACCTTGTCCTTGGCTGTCTCAGTCTTTCTTAGGCCATCCATACTGTGTCTGTACTTGCAGCTGTTCTTAACTGCAGGCATATCTCATCCACTGTCCTACCCATCCACTGAGACAGTCATTTTAGTTACCATATATTTTCTCATTTCTGTGCATTCTTGTGCAGAGCTTTAAATCAGCTTGGTTTTAGCACCTTGTACCTCTCTAATATTTCATATTACAACTTTTCATTTTGAAGTCATGTGAACATGTTTATTTTTGCAGTCTCTATCGATAAGTTCAACATCTGAAGTGCTTGGAGTCTAATTCCATGTACTGTGGACTCTTGTTCATAGTAGCGTTCATCCATGGGGTTCTTAGGGGATGCATATTACTCTACAGATGCTATATACCTTCTTTCATACAGGATAGCTCAGGGAACCCATCCAGGGTCATTATGGCCTCAGCTTTAGACTGGATTTTCTAGAGAACTCCTGTGCTGGGAGTAGAGACTCATCTCTTGGAGAGCAGGTTTCTGTCATGCAGGTCAAGCAGGGACCTTTGGTTTTATACACTTGGAAGAATAGACCCAAGACAAATGAATTTCCTTCATTCCCCTACCTACCAATGTGTGGGCTTATTTTGTTTGCTTTGTTTGTTTCTCTTGAGTCTACTCTTTTGATATTTGTGTATCCTCTATAGGACCTAATTTTATATTGGGGAGGGGTCTCAGTTACTTCTTGCCTCATGAAGATTCCAGATTTACCTTCTTCTTTAGGGACAATCAGAGTCCATATGCAGCTACTCAGGTAGGCTGAGTCCCAGGCTACCTGGTTCAAGTTGAATGTGTTCTGCCCTGCTGGACCTGCTGTGTTGACCAGCCAGTTCCCAAGGCTGATTCCAGAGCTACTTTTATCAGGGGAGCCCAGAGGTATGTGCAAGGCAGGTGTTCTGCTTCCACAAACTTGCCTAGGGACTTGCAAGAAGCGGATTTTTAGGACAGGGGGTCTGCTTGCTGCTAGAGACAGAAGATTTCTCTTCGTGTCAGAAAAAGTTCTCTCCATACAGGTGACCAGAACTCATCTGCAGCAGATTTAGAAACCCACTCTACAAAACTTTGGGCTATCTTGATTGTGGGAAGGTCCTGAAATCTAACAGGTACCCATGTTACTATGAAGCAGGTGGTTTATAGATTAGTCCTGGGAAACTCCAAGTGTGAGGTCTGTGCCAGCTGCAGAGGCAAGAGCAGTTCTTCTGTGACTTCTCAGTCTTCCCACTAGGCTTCATCAGAGCTACCAGGGTGGAAGGGCAAGGCCTGAGTGTGGGACAATAGCAGGCTGATAGTGCCATCTGCCACCTGCACCTATGTTCTGTGCATCAGGTATGATATAGCTCAGGACTTTGGCTGGAAGGACTCTAATCAAAATTTCTAAAGACCCTCCCAGTTGCCACAAATGACTTACAGCAGCCTCAGTATCCTGAGGAAGTTGGTCAGGACTTTGGGCTACAAAACTTATCTCACTGATGGAATGTAGGCTATGGTGGTGTCAATGGGAAAGCTAGTCATAGCTTCTTGGGTACACTTTGAGCCTGGATCAGAACCTTCTCATCAGCACTGCCTCTGGCCTCTCATTTCTATTCCCAGTGTCCTGATGACTCTCCTTCTCTTTGGGGCTGTCACTGATAACACTACCCTATCATTCTGCCTTTTTACCTCCTGTTTGTCATCTCAAGTCTAGTCTTCATGATCAATGAGTAGACTAACCAATGGGTCCACCTTGAATGGAAGTATGGGCTGGTAATGGCCTTGTATACCTAGAAGGGTCATGTGCCCTATAAGAGCCTGGTTTCCCCTCATCTTTTCAGCAGTATCTTAGCCATTTCTGTCTTTGCCCTTGGCTGGACTTTCCCAGCTGGCACATCTGCCCAATTGCCTTCACACTGCAGCCTGTATCTTTAAGAAACTATATCTACTTTGAAGTTTTAAGAAATATATTTTTTCTGATTAGTAAAGTAGATTATATTCACTGTGAAGCATGAATACAGAGAAAATGATAAAGAATAACTAGTTGCTGTCTTACTGCTGTTAGGTTTTGGACAACTGTCCTCTCCCTGGCTACACCCCAGCTTTGATGGCTGTCATCCCTGGGTTGGGTCCACATTGAATGCTCAGTTTTAATCCTGCTTTTATCTACTTACTGTGACATGAGCATTAATGCCTGTCATTTTAAATTCTTTTGAAACTGGTTTGTGTTGTTTCTAGGCAAATATTTATGCCAATAATTTTGTGGTGTTCACCTGCTATCCAGACTCTGAAAGCTAGCTTGGATCTGATGGGAAAGTGCCCACAAGCTTTAAATGTTTTATTTCATTGGAATTGGATTCAGCACTTTACTCTTCTGAACAGTGATACTTCTGATATTTAAACTTATTCTTCTGAAGAGGAAATAAAGTCCTAAATTTGTGACTATTTAGAAAAGTAATGATGAAAATATTCCATATCAGATCCTATGGTGTATATGTAAGGTGCTTAAATCATTGGTGACTAACAAATTGATGCTTCTGTTTTAATTATGGGAGGGGGCATATGTACATAAATGCAGGTGCTTGCACAGGCAAGAGCTATCAGATCCCCTGGAGTTGGAGCTATAGGGTCACCAGATGTAGGTGCTAAGAACCAAACTAGAGTCCTCTGCAAGAGCAGTATGCTCTCTTAACTGCTAAGCCATGTCTCCAGCTTCATAAGTTGATATTTCTAAAGACAGCTTACCATGAAACAAAAAGGGAAACAATATAAAATAATATGTACAAAAGGAGAAAGAAAAATTTATAAGTAGTGTTAATATATTTTAATACCTCTGTTGCTAGAGATGCTACTATCAGACATAAAAGTCAGCAGAAGTGCAGATCCAAACAATACTTTCAATCAAGTTGACTTAACTAACCCTGGTAGAGCATTCCTACCAACAACAGCAGGCTAAATATGGCTGCCAGCTACACAGAGAGCACATGCCAAGACAGACCATATTCTGAACTTTGAAAAAATTTCATAAACTTAAAATTATTCAAGTCATATGTCCTTTGACCACAATAGAATTAAAAAATCAATTAAAAAGATGTCAAATTCTGAAATATATGGAAAGTAAAGAACGTGTCTCTAAATAACACAGGGTCAGAGCAGAAATCTAAGAGAAAAAAATGTAGAATGTTTTAAATCAAATGAAAGTGAAAACACAACATGCTACAGTTTATGGGCACTGCTAAAGAAGTTCTTGGGAGGACCATATAGCAACATGCAAGCATTTCAGAGAAGGCCTCATACTGGGAACTATAAAACTGCTAAGTAAACCAAATAAATAGTCATAAGGAAAATAAGGATTTGTGGAGCAAAGTAGGAAAATAAAAACAGGAAAAAATAATCAAACCAATGTTGATTTTTAAGGCCAGGAAAAAAATCAATATGTGACTAACAAGCTAGACCAAGAGTGATGTCTTAACTTGTCAGTGTCAGAAATGAGATGCTTGGCTTTGTGTAAATGACAGGATGTAAAACCACAAGACTATCCTTTACAACTCTTTGTTACTAAAGTCTACAACTTACATGAAATGGCAAAGTTCTTGGGAAGGTAAAATGCAGACAGATGTAAGCCAAGTATCATCTGTTAATACCAATAAAACAGAAGAGCACTCCAGGACCATGTTGTTTCCTGGTGAATCCTGTCATATGTTTAAGAAAAAGCAAAGTCGTTTCTTTAAAAAAAAAGCGGGGGGATTCTTCTAAGTTCTGAGACCAGCGTTACCCCAATATGAAACCCAGCCAAAAACATTACAAAAAGGAAAACTGTAGATAAATATCACTTGTGAACACCAAGCCAAACATTTTAAGCAAAATGATCAATTAGGGTTCAGGAATGCAAAGTTAATTTCAATTTTTTTAATTAGCAAAATAAACCCTATTAATAAGTGACAACAGAAAGCCATAGTTGTCTCAGAAGATGCAGAAAAAGTATTTGGCAAAATTTGGCACTGATGGGTTATAAAGTATCTAATAGAAAATAGAAGCTTTCTTAGGCTGAAAGAGATTTATTGACAAAAAACCTCCAGTTAGCATATTCAATGAACAAATACTGATTGCTTTCCTCGTATGTCAGAAGTATAAACATCTGGTCTTATGACTTCTAGTCAACATTAAGTTGGGGATGCTTGCCTAGGGAATAAGGTAAGAAGCAACAAATTGGAAAAGAAGTGAAACTGACAGTATTTGTAGATTTCCTGGTTGTCTGTGTAGAAAATCTGATATGTCAGATAGGCCATTGGAATACGCAGCTTCAGTTCAGTTGCAGATACAAGGGCAAAAAGCAATTCTACTTCTAAATTGTAGCTGCAAATAACTTAGAATTGAAAACTTTTAAATACTACTCTGAGTAGCATTAAAAATGTGAAATACGCAAATGCATCTGATAAAAGGGTTCTCCTTTGGAACCTATAGAACTATGCTGATGAAATCCAGAAAAATGAATGTAGATATATATTAGTTTCACAAATTACAGGGTTCAATAATTGATTCTAATTTCAGTGTAAAGTCAATCAGAGGCCAGCATGCAGATAGCCTAGAATAACCAAAGCAACTTTGAGCATGAACAAGATTGGAGGCTTAACTAGATGTACAGTGTCAGCATAGAGAAGCAAAAAATCAGTGGAACAGAATGGGGGTCAGGTGGACCTTCATATTTACTGATGGCTGATTTCTAAACCACATGTGAAGGTTATGGATTTGTTTTTGTTTTTTGTGGTTTTTTTTGCAGGGAGGAGAAGACAAGATGGAAAAACTGAATATCAATTTCAAACACTTTTATCCTCATCTTCCACAAAAACTAATTCAAAATGGTCATAGAACTGAATTCAAAGGTTAAAACTTACAGGTCAAAACAATATAGTTAAGGATATCTTTGACACAACATCCAAAGCATGTAATAAGAACAAATTAGTCACACTTCCCAAGCATGCTTTTTGAAAGACACAATGAAAAAGACAGATATGGAAAGAAAGTATTTTGTGTGTTCTGTGTTGTGCACTGCATTTGAGTGTGCGATTGTGCATGTGTGTGAACACACATACAGAGGACAAAGTATTGGTGTCTTTTTCTATGGCTCTCTACCTTCTTTCCCTGAAGCAGTCTCTCACTGAATTGGAAGTTGAGTGTTTCAGCCAGACTGACAGGTCAGCAAGCTCCCAGGATCTGCCTGTCTCTGCTCAACCCCCATCAATGCTAGGGTTACAGGTATGTGCAGCCATGATAGACTTAGGGCTTTTTAAAAAATGTGGGTGCTAGGGATTTTAACACCTGTCTCTCTGTTTGCACATCAACAGTTACCCATTGAGTCATTACCCCAACCCTGAAAATATTTTTAAATCATATACCTGATAAGGAATTTTTATTCAAAAAATAAGTAAACAAAAAAACTGAGAATAAAAATACTTTCATTAAAAAAGAATTTATATTCATAATATGTGATGGACATTTTAAACTGACAAATAAGACAATTAACACATTACAAAAATGTGTAAACTGTTTACACCAACACTTCATAGCAAGGGAGACATATAGAAAAGCATGTGAGACAATTCCCAGCATCATTAGTTATTGAAGAAGTGCACACAGGTAGACACTACTGCATAACTACTAATTAGCTAAAATTAAGGAGTCTGACCAAGTGTTAGTGAGGACATTAAGGAACACAGCTGTCATATGTCATGGTCACAGTGTACTCTTCAGCGGTTCAGGGACTGCAAAAGAGTTTAGTGGTTTCTTTTCTTTCCTTCTCTAGCTCTCTCTCTCTCTCTCTCTCTCTCTCTCTCTCTCTCTCTCTCTCTCTCTCTTCCCCCCCCCCATTTGGAAACATTCCAAGTGCAGTCAACATTTGAATAGAGCTTTTTTTCAAAGTTATGCAGTGTCTATACAATGGAATACTACTCAGAAGTACAAAGGAATGAACTATTGATACACCTAACATGGATGAATCACCAAGTAATTACAGTGAGTGAAAGAAGCCAGACAAAGAGTTCATACTGTCATCTTCTGTTACCAGAGCACTCTAGAAAATGAAGTCTAACCTAGAGTGACAGAAAGGTCAATAATTACCGAGGGGTGGAGCAGTGGTAGGGGAAGTCCAAAAGGGCAAGAGGAAGCTTCTAGGAGCACTGGATATGCTCATTACCTTAATTGTGGCAGCGATTTCAACACATGTCAAAAGTTACCAAATCCTACAATTTAAACACGTGCCATTTATTATATGCCAGCTGTACCTCAGCAAAGCTGGTAATAGAATATATAAAATTTGCACAGCAGAAAACACCAAAAATAAGTTTTAAGTGGTAACCTGAGGAAACAGTTGCCACCCATATTGTAAGCACAGAGTGAATTATTTTCATTAAGTTTATTCAAAGCCCTTTACATTGAGAAAATGAGAGAATAAAAAAAGGAAATGTTACTGATTCCAGGGTAAAATGATGCTAGACTGGCTCACATATGATAGAGTGTAAATATAAGTACTCTGTGACTTACATTTCTTTGATTATTTAGTAAAAGACTGGTAATTCTCAATGGGTGAGTATATAGGGAAAGTTAGCCTTATTCATTGATTCTATAAGAAAAAAATGGATGGAATCTCAGTGGATATCAAAATTTAAAAAAATTTTCTATAAATCTATACATTTGCAAAGTGTTTTGGTCTGGAAACAATGATGCCTATGCTTCCTAAGTAGCAAAACACTGCAAATTGCTAATATATCCATCTATGAAGGTCTGCTTATTTGATGAAGATCCATCAATCAATCATTAAAGCTATGAGGATGGCTTTTCAGCAGTATGAGGAACAGCCCTGATAGCTGATCCTACAAGTAATAGAATCTCTGGCTCAGCAGAATATGACAGGTTCCACCATGCCTTTGTCATTGCAAGTTAGAAATCTATCTGTTCTGTGTTCTAAAACAGTTTGAAAACATTAGAGGTTAAATAGTGGTTGGCAATATGGCTCAGTGAGTTAAGATACCTGCTGCCAAGCCTGATGACCTGAGTTTGATCACTAGGATCTACTTGTTGGAAAGAGAGAAGCAATTCCTACAAGTTCTTTCTCAGCCTCCACAGATGCTATGAGGTGCACCCACCCCCACCACCCTGCTTGTACATGTGTTCACATGCACACACATATAATAAGTGTAAATTTTTTTTGAATGTACATAGACCTAAATTGTATAACCATCTGGGCCTAATACAAAATCTTAACTGCTTTTAGTCTTTTTTGTGGTAATGTATTCTAAATTAGTTTAGTGCATGCTTTAAGGGATAATTTATTCATTGCTGTGTAATTTCCTGAAGCATTTCAACTGTGTTGCCACTTGGTAGCAACTAATTTTCTTTCAGTAGTTTATGCTCTTTTCTATAAATTTTTCTTGCCTGTGCTTTTATAGTTTTGCTTTTTTCTTAGTCAAGTTCATGAGAGATTTATCTGTCCTGCTAATTATTAAATATTATGTTTATTCTCTTATCAGAAAACTATCTTTGTCTATATTTGTTTTCTTCTTAGTCATCTTGGGCTATGATATCTATTAATTCCATCTTCCTAATTATCTTTAATTTATGTGTTTTCTTTTTAAACTTAATTAAGAGTAATACTTAGTTCACTTATTTAAAGTCCCTTTACCAAGAGGCATTTTAAAAGCTATAAATTTTCCTCTGATCACAGCTTTAGCTGTGATATGTAAGACTTAGTATGAAATAATGGCTCATTTCATCCCCCCTTTTTAAAATAATTTTTGTTTTGTTTCTTCTCTTTAATCTAGAGTTCTTTTAAATGTTTGCTTGATTTTTAAGCAATAAATTTTTATCACTGTAATTTATTTCTGGTTTAATAGGCTTACAGTGAAAGGATGCAGTGTATGAAAGCCCCAGTTTTCTTAAAAGAGCTCCTTTGCAGCATCAAAGTCTAAAAATTAAAGCATTATTTTTGTACCTTGTAACTTGGGATGTGACCTGTTCCACATACCTAAGTTAAAAAGAGACCTTCTTCATTTGTGGGTTACAGATTTGTCTGCATACACAGATAAAATACATGAAGATGGATTATATATCCATTCATATACATTTATTTATTTAATTAGCTACGTCTATTTTGCCCTGTATTCATCTCACCACAACCTAATACATCTAACTATTTTGAAATATTGAAATTAAATCATTCCTTTACAGTTACACTCTTAAAAAACAGAGGCAAATTCATAGTGTTCAGAGCATTATTTACAGCCATGCTTCTCGAGCCCACAGCCCTGTTCCACCATTTATTGTTATATGACCCTGGTCCAACTACTGCCTTTTTATACCTCTGTTATACATCAGTGAAATCAAGATTCTAACTGTGGGGCCAGCAAGATGGCTCCCTAGGTAAAGGCACTTGCTGCCAAAGCTGATGACCTGAAATCAATTCCCTGTACCCATATGTTAAAAGGGAGAAAATTGGTTACTGTAAGTTGTTCTCTGACTTACACACACACACACAGGTACCCTCCACACAGGTACACACACAGGCACATATGAGTCTACACATATGCATGTGTCCATGCACATATATAAATTAAAATTGATTTTAAAAATGGTAAGAAAAACCCCTACTGCCTAACTGCCTACTGCAAGCATTGCTGTAGTATACAAATATGAGGATGTAGGTTCCTACCCAACATGCAATGAAGACTCTGGTGTCTGTCTCCTATAATTTGACCCCATGTTCTATCAACACCAGACCTGTTCTCTATCAGACAGCTCTGTGTTCCACCTTCTTCTATTTTATTGCTCATGCCACAAATCTTGGGGGGGTATTCTTTCTCTTAAACTTTTTTAAAATTGTATTACTAATATTTATACTCCTAGATTTATAGTTGAGTATAATGTATATATACAAGTTTTTCTTTGCTAGGTTCTCCTCTGTTACCTAGAATGATAAACAACGATTTTATTTTCTTATATTTTTCCTGATGCTCATATAATATACAATGAAATCAAACATACATATTATGATGGAGCCTTTTTGTTGTTTTTGAAACAAATGGGAGCCACAAAATTCATGGTTTTCTATACCTTGCTCTTCATACAGTCATACAACCACAGCTTCCTCTGAGCTTTTTTTATCTCTCATTTCTATTCCAATCTAAAATTATATTGTTTACTTCATTCCTCTTGGGATCCTGAACCATGATGTTCTTGGTTGCTTGAAATATACTTTGCTTTAGGTTTAAGTCAATTTTCTAAAAGTCTTTCTTAAACTCATTTACCAATATACAGGTTTTTTTTCTTTTTATTATTAAGGAATTTTCTATTCACTTTACATACCAACCACAGATCCCCCCTCTTCCCTCTTCACACACCTCAGCCTCCCCCCCAATCCACCCCCTACAGATTTTTATTTCTATGCAGTGTTCTTCCAGAATGTATTAGTTTGCCGGGGTTGTCAAAACCAAATGTTGAGTCAACAGGCTTCGAAGAAAAGAAGGAGGCCACAAGACTGAGATTAGAATGCCAGCAGGTTGTTTTTCTCTTAAAACCTCTTTCCTTGACTCACAGATGCTCTCTATATTTCTGTGTCTTCACATAGTCTTCTGTCTACACAGTCACGCTTTGGGACTCTCTGTGTCCTAATTTCCCCTTCTTTATAGGCACACCAGCAAAACTGGACTCAATTTAACTGTCTGTTTAAAGGTCTGATCTCCTGTTACATTCTGAAATATTAGAAGTGAGGGCTTTAACTTGGAAAATTGGTGGGGATGGAGTTCAGCCTCTAACACAGGCATGGATGCATTGTTAAATTGTATGCATGTTGCCAGGTTGCTTTCCTCAAATGTTGTCTAACCTCACATTTCCACAGGCAGGGTTCCCCTTTCCCGGCATCCCTGCCAGCCATTATTGGCAGAGCAATTTTCCATCTTGTTAGCCAAGTGGGGCAGGGATACTCTGCTGCGGAACCATTGACATTTGGCAGGAGATAACGCTTTGTCAACAGTGTCCCGTTTACTGTAGGATGTTTAGCAGAGTCCCTGGCTTCTGCCAGGATGCCAACGCAGCACCCCCTCAGTTACAACAACCAAAAATAAAATAACCCACAACCTTCTACATATTACCAAATTTACCCATATGTTGGTAAAATTGGTCCCAGTCATGAACCACTGGAATACTGTGATATCTCATAGTTGATTCTTTAAACATAACAAAACCACTTTATTTGTAAGTAATAATAAACTACAGGAAAATTGCAGGAATGAGGTATAAGACATCTTCATATCCTTCATTAAGATTTTAGGTACACTTATTAACTAACATTCCAGCCACATTTGCTTTTTCATTTCAATGTTTTTATATTCGTACTTGTACACTGTGTTCCTCTGCAAAACTTGAAAAGGCATTGCACACTTTACAGCCCCTCACCCCTAGACATTTTGCCGTGTATTTCCTAACAATTTATTTCCTAACTGTACTACAGTTTAAGTAGGATGACAACATCACATTTCCTCCTTTTGAAAGTGATATAATAGACATCAGTTTCTGCAATTAAACATCCATAGTCACTGAAATAATCCAATGCCTATGTTCTACTTTTGTCAGTGAATATAACAAAATCTTTTGGTGCATCTGTCCTCCAGTGCAGAGTCCAGTCCATGTTTCATGTTGCCCTTCGTTGTGTATCTTTAGTTACCATGAACCTGGGCATTTCTAGTTTCTCTTGGTCTTTTTTGACATCAAAATCACTTTTTGAGGGGTTTATTTGAATTTTTTTATGATTAGATCCAGATTGTGTATTCCCTTCTGGAAAATTCCACAAATTATACAGTGTCATTCTTACGGTACCATGTCTACAGTTATATGATGATCTCCAGTGGTAATGTTGTTTGATCACTTCACTGAGGTACTGTAGATGTATCCAACCTTCTTATTAAATAAGAAACACAGAACCAATGCAAAGAAGAAAGCCAAGAGGTCAGAGCTAAGAGCTAAAACCTTACCCTTCCTCCTGCGGTGGTCCTACCTCTCCGAACCAGAGCTACCCCTGTGTTAAAGTCTTTATATAGAGTTCCTGTCTTGCCTTCTCATTGGTTGTAAACCCAACCACATGACCGCCTCCTCACAGCCTGTCTGTATAGGCCTCCAGGTTTTCCATGATTGGTATTAAGATTAAAGGCATGTGTATCCAATAATGGCTGTATCCCTGAACACAGAGAGACTTACCCAGCTCTGCCTACCAAGTGCTGGAATTACAAGCGTATGCTACCACTGCCCTGCTTTCCTATGGCTTGCTAATAGCTCTGACCCCCGGGCAACTTTATTTATAAACATACAAATAACATTTTAATACAAATAAAATATCACCATAAGGTACTGTCTGCTTTTCCCCTATTATTTACTTTGAGGAAGATGAACTTGCTGTGGGTATGCTATAAGCCATTACAAATTTATCAGTCCTCATAAAAAAATCTACCCTAATAAAGATGCTTTCTATAACTAGTCTTTATCATGATAGCTGCAAAAATGATTTTTCATCTATAGTACCCCAAGCAAAAGTCCTGAAAGAAAAAAATTAAGCTATCCATCTAGTATTTTGTTATCTGATTTCAGTCTTGATATGCTTTATAAATGGCGTTGAATACTTTTTCATGTGCTTGTTTGTCATTTAGTTATCTTTCGTACTGAGATATGTATTCAGATCCTTTGCACACATATTTTTTACATATATGGGGAGGGGTGGCACATGTATGCTACAAAGCCTGCATAGAGGGCAGAGGAAAATGTGTGGGAGTTTATTCTTTCCCTCCACCATATGGGTCCTGGGGATCATACTTGAGTCATTAGGCTCAGCAGCAAGCTCCTCTACACACTTTCTTGCTGGTTCCCTTTTGCACATTTCCAAAATTCAAGTTTTTAATCTTTTTATTTCAGACATTCACATGCATTTGTTAGAAATAATCAAAGAGATCCCATGTACCTCTTACTTGGTTTTTTTCTGGTGGTAACAAAATTGTAGTACAGTTTAAAGAGGATGGGAATAATGGTTCAGTGATACAGAATATTTTCATTACCTCAAGGATTCCTGTTTGCCCTTTTATAGCCACACACTCTTTCTTCCCACTATGCCTTAATTCCCAGTAATCACTATTCTGTTCTTGATTCTATAGATTTGCCTTTTTAAGATTGCTATATAAATAGAATCAAATGCATCTTTTGGAATTTGACCACTTTTAGCATTTAGCATAATTCTCTAGAAGTTCATCCAAGTTGTTTTATATATCAGTAATTTATTCAAACTTATTGCTTAGTAGAATTTCATGATATTGATATACCACATTTTTTTAACCTTCACACATCCACAGACATCTGTCATTCCTAACTTAGAACTACTATAGATCATTTAATAATGACAATATTTTCCATTTTACCAATTCAGGTAGACATGCAATAATTTCTTATTGTGTTTTAAATCTGTATTTTACCAATGGATAATAATGAATGGGTTTTTCCACATTCTGACATTCAGTGAAATGTTTATTTAAATTATTCACCAATTTTCCAAATGAACTTTCTTTTACTGTTAAGTTTTGAGAAGTTCTTTTCCATGTGATCTAAATACAGCCCTAAGTCAAATATATGATTTCTCAGTATTTTACCCCCTCTATAGCTATATATCTCATCCTATTAATATGGTCCTTACAGGAGCTATTTTTTATTTTTATTATTTCTTGTGTGTATGTTCACATGTATATGTGTGCAAGTGCATGTGGAGATCTAAGGTTGATGTCAGGTTTCCTTGCCCATCTGACATTTATGTGGGCTCTGGAGATCTGAACTCGGGTCATCTTGCTTGTGTTTAACCATTGAGTCATTTCACACCCACTTGTTTCATTTTGATGAATTTCAATTTATCCTTTTTGTAGAATATGTATGAGTGATTTGCCTGCATGTATGTCTGTGCACCAGGTGTGTGCCTGGTATCTGCATAGACCAAAATAATGTATCAGATCCCTGGAATTGGAGTTAGAGATATTTGTGAGCCACCATATGGGTGTTGGGAATGAAACCCTTGTCCTCAGGGAGGGCAGTTGGTGGTCTTAACTGCTGAGCCATCTCTCCAGCCCCATGGAGTATATTTTTGATACTAGAGCTATGAAAAAATTGCCCACTTCTAGATATTGAATAATCCCACCTGTATTATCCATAATGGCTTTATTGAGAAATAACTAACATACTATACAATTTATCATTTAGATAATGCAATTCAGTAATTTTAAATAGCCTGAAGTCTATATAACCATTATTACCATCAGTTTTAGAATATTATTATGTCACAAAGAAAATAAATATTCTTTAAGTATAATTTTCTAACACTGCCCTCCAATTCTGCCACCCTAAGCCTCACACAATTGCTAATCTACTTTGTTTCTATAGATTAGCATGTTCTGGAAAATTTATATAAGTATAATCACAATATGTGGTCCTTTGAGGCTGGATTTTCATCTAGAATGCATTCATGGTTCATCCATTCATCCATGTTGTAGTACATATTACTTCATTTCTTCTTAAGGCTCAATAATATTTTATAGTATGTATATATCATATGATGGTGATCCATTCATTAGCTGGTGAGCACTGTGGTGGTCTCCATAATTTTATTATTATTAATAATGTGGAAATGAACATTTATTTAAAAGCTTTATATGAACATATATTTTCATGTCTCTTGAATATATACACTGGAGAAGAAGACTGAGCCCAGTAGTAACTCCTGTATCCTTTGGGAACTGAAGCGTTTTCTAAAGTGGGTGCAGCATTTAACATTTCCATATGAAATGCACAAACACTGCATAATTTCTCCACATTTTCACCAACTCCTTAATTAAAACATTTGAGGGGGACCTGGAGAGATGGCTTAGCAGCTAAGGCTACTTGTTGCTCCTCCAAAAACATGGAATCAGTTCCCAATGCTCACATAGTGGCTCATATTCATCCATAACTCCAATTCCAGGGGATTTGATGCCTACTTCTGACCTCTAAAGGCACCAGACATGCACATGGTACACATATTTACATGCAGCCAAAACTACTAATATACATAAAATAAAACACACACACATGCATACACACACACATACATGAAGTATCTCTTGATACCAAATGGCATGTCATTTTAGTTGTGATTTGCTTTTCTACATAGCTAATGGAAGTTGAACATTTTTTATTGTTGACAATTGTATATTTTCATTGCTCTATTTAGAGTCTTTATTCTTTAAAGACAAGGTCTTACTATGTAGCTTTGGCTGGCATTAAA